GTAGGCCATGCTGTTACAGAATTGTAGTTCATTAATTTCCTTGCTGTATAATACTTCACCACTTAGTATGAATATGTGTCATATATACATATATATAAACACATGTATATATAAATAAGCATAAATTTTATTATTGATTTATTATTGTTATACATTTACCTGTCAAAAGCTCCAGGATAACGACCAAACTGTAACTTTCGAAAAGGAACAAATTTCCTGTCCATGTGTCCTTTGAGTCGTAGATGACCATGCCAGAGGTAGTTACCATTCCTCTCATGGAAGACCACCAAGTGGATGGCATGAGCAGCCAGTTTACAGACATAGTGTAGAGGGATTTCCGTTCCGGAAAGTGAGTCTATGCCGTCTAGCCGAGGATCTTTGCTCTCTGTCTTTAGGCACTGAAATCCCATATTCTCAGCTATTCGAAACCAGCCATCCTAGAATAAAACAAGGATCAAACTTGAGTATCTAAAATCAAATACTAGTAGGAAGAGTAAAGCAATTTCTAGATAGAATTAAGCCATATTTTTGTGCTAATCTGATTTTTTCCCAGAACATTTAAAAATGAGGGAAATGAACATTTAGAAATGAAGGAAGAGCTGAAAGAATAAAGCAGCAGCAGAAAACTGTACAGCATGGAAAGTATGTCTAAAGACTCCGTGAAAATTAATACAGTTTCTCCCATGGCATAAGGGTTCTCTGACATGAGCTTCTATAAAGTAGATGTTAATAGTGGTGTCACAAAAGTAAGTGAGCAATTTTTTTATCCCAACACTTTAAAAATGTGATAACAAAACCCCATCATCATAATGCAAACATTAGAACACAGAGTGCAACATACTGCAAAGTATATTTTTAATACCATTAGAATACAAATATTATGTATCAAGACTATTCTATTTGTAGATTTTAGTAGGTAATTAAATATTATTAATCATGTCCACTGGGAGTGGTGCCCTACACCTGCACTCAGGAGACAGAGGCAGGAAGACTGCAGGTTTGAGACCAGTCTCAACTATAGTGAGCTCCTGTCTCAAAATAACAACAACAACAAATGAATAAAACCCACAAAAAACCCCCAAAGCCCACTAAAAGAATAGCCTATATTTCATTAGGAATTTATAATCTCCAAAGAATGCTTACTTATATTTATGTATTTGCATTTAGACATGGTATCTACTCCATAAACTGTGTAGCATAAGTGTTATAGAAGAGGAAACAAACTCAAAGAAACATACTAATCAGACACAAAGCCACTTAGTATGTTCAAAGTGTATATACACCCATTATCTCATTTGATATCCACAGAAATTATGTGAGGTCAGCCAGGAAGACACTATGTGTAACCTGTAGTCATAGAAAAGCAAGCTCTAAAAGTATGTCTTGAAGTCTGTCTCATTGGCCACCGAGTTCAGAAATGAATACTGCCTGCACGCCACTTTTCTCTCTACACCTTCAGTGTTCTCCTTTGCAATAGTCATATCTTAATCTATGCCGTCACAGAACAAACAGACATCTATTGTACCTCTTACCCTTTTGTTTTTAAACTGCTTTAAACTGATACACTGTTAGTTTCTCAACCATAGTAATCAACAGTGTCTATTACAAAGCCGATCAATAGATGACTTTTGTTATTTATACTGCTGAATAAGAGACAGTGGTGTGGTAGAGAATGCTACTGGACCAATGATAGTGTCTTCTCCTATTGGGATATAGAACTAACTTGCATTCTGGTCAAAAGAATGTGGATGGAAGTATCACAGACTACTCCCAGGCTTGGCTGTACACTATCCCAAAAGATCTGTCATAGTTCCTTCTTCCAACTGTATGTAGGAAAGAACTCCAAGATGAGAAAGACACACAAATCCCTGAGTCACTACATAGAAAAGTCACCTACAAACATCCATGAACAGTAATGTCCACAACGGATTTTGTGAAAAAATAGAGAAAGCAAAAATAAAAACAAATTCTTTCTTGGGTTAAGTTAGTGAAACTCTGGGGTTGTTTTTACAACTAAGTAACTTACCCTAGCTAATGCAATTTCATCTGGATTTTCCCTTTATTAGAATTATCAATTGTAAAACTCTTTTTCTTTCTCAGTACATCTAAGGGGAAACTAAGGGAGGTAGGGTTTGCTCACTCCGAAAGACTATGCAGAATGACAGAAGCACTGTAAATCAGTAAATTCAGGAAAAACTAACAAGGCCAGCTAGATCTTCAAGGACAACTGATCTTGGTGAGGGAGGAAAGAAAGACTGACAGATTAGGCAAAACTATGATGGCTTGCCTTCCTACAACCATGAAAGAGAAAGCCAAAAATAAAGCAGGTGCTTTCATTAAACTATGCAATGGCCTGAGTGAAGGCTGTGGCAGACAAAACTTCTCCCAGCTGCCTTGGGAGTGGCATGCTTATGTTATGGATGGCAATAATAAT